TAAACCTTGCTGATTGAACCTGCATGGTCTCCAGGAGTTCTTTGGGCTAGGCCTGACAATACTATCCTAAAGTGGCTAATAGATAACATTTTGATCCCTTACCTGATCGCAGCACTGGCATAATAGTTGGTGAAGTGTGACAGATTGCATCCATGACAAAATCTGTGTTGTGATGAAGGGGAAAGCACTGCTTTAAACATTGGAACAACTAAGGATGGTAAAGCTTCTCCTGGTCTGGGGAATCACACAAGGCAATGACATGATGACAAGGCAGGTAAAAAGGTTGTTGGGATATGTGTATGCCATAGTTAGATGCAGGTGAGGAAAAGCACTGGAGCTCCCAGTAAATGTCAGGGTAATTTGTGTCTACTACTTTATATCTGAATGATTGGCAGGTTGCATTGGGTAGTATGATACCAACCACAGGATTGCTGTTATTAATTCCTTTCCATACTTTAACCCAGATGCTCTCAACATTTGTAAAATAATTCCTTTGCATTTCTAAGCAAGTTAACATTTTGCAGCTTCCTTCTGCATTGCTTCTGTTCCTTTTGAACTAATTGCATCCTTCAGTTGCTGTAACGGATATGCCATCATATCTCAATTATGCTTCCAGAGTCATTTTAGTATATGCATTAAATTCATTTTATTTATTTTCCATACTTTGAGCTTTAATGTATAGACAACAAAACCCCTGAACTTTATGAGCCAATGTTCTTTCTGATTTTTCATTGTGGTTTCATAGGCTCTCCTATAGCAACTCTATCATGTCCATCTGCAGTGCAGAATTCCTTCTATGAAATCTTCAGTATTAAACATTTAGCCATGGCCATAACATCTCCTCCTCTGAGCTTCTCCTAAAATTGGGACCTCTTCTTATTAATTGCCATGTTAACTGGGATGGAAGTTAGAGAAGACCATTTTCAACACAGGTTTTGAAAAACTGCTTTAAGTCTTGTTACACATGCTCTTCCAAAGTAAATTATAAAATATCTTCCCTCCACCCAATACTAGTGTAAGGATCAAAACCTTCAGGTTTTTAAAATTTGGGTTAATACCCTTGGCCTTGAGGCACAGGAGCTGTAAAAAACATCTCTGGATGCTTCCAGATGGGAGGCTTCTGTAATGTTATCAATTCTGAAGACATTGTATAGTTATTCTTCACAGAAGGCCATGAAGACCTGGCTCTTCCCCAAGCATTGGGCTAGGATGAGAATTGAGTCAGGAGGTTAATTGTTTGGTTAGTCTGGTACCTGGTCGGAAGGATTGTTTTGTTTTTATTGTTTTTATTTGTTGTGAGCTGCCTAGGGTTACTATGTGGGATAGGTGGCCATATAAGTTCTTTAAATAAATAAAGTAAATTCTGTCTTTTCCTTCTTAGTTTTAATGAAAAGAATGGCTGTATCAGTGAGAAAGCACAAGGTTACAAACTGAAAGGAGTGGCAGCTGTTCTCCCTGTAAAATTCTGAGAATGAGGCTGGGTGAATTCACAATAAACATTTAATGTAAAAATGCTATTTATAACATTCTTGTATAGTAATTCTGTATACCTTCCCAGTTTACAAATGAGCAAACAGACTGGAAGAAAATGACTTTCCCAAGATTGCTCAGAGTTGTCCCAGTTACTAACAGATAGATGGGATTCTGAAGCCAGTTCTTCTAAATTCATCTCCAGACTTGAGTAAACCTGATTTAACTTGGAAAATATGTGAAATCTATAGCCGTCTTACTAGACACATTAAATTCCAGAATAAACTATTATGTATTATTTATCCTTTGCATACATAAGTCAGGAAATTCTTTGAAGCATCTTCATGGAATGAGGAGGAAAAAAAAATATTATGATTGGGTTATGATGTACAGGGAATTTATCCCAGTGCTGATGTCAGTGCAAATAAATACCTTTATATTGAATTCAATTGCTAGTAGAAATTGCAAAACCCTCAAGTAAGGGTTTCTACATACCACAGAGGTCTGGTGGTTGGGATGGGAGTTCATAAAAATTGTGCGGGATGGACTTCCAAGTGGAAAATATGATGCTATGGAATGTTCACGATAAAGCACAGATGTGGTCATTCTCCTTTTAGGCATCCGTGTCTCTCCTCCAATTCTATAATGACAGCACATTTGCTTTCTCCATCAGCTTCTCTCTTCTTTCTCAATCCCTATCTGTATGCCCATGACTCAGTTTACAAATACAGCATTTCACAGTTCCTAAGTCCTTCCTGATCATGATTAAGCACGTGTCACTTATTCAGCCTTAAAAATAATCATGATCTTTCTGCCAAGTGATAAATGGATATTGATTTATTTACAGACCAACACTAATCACAAAGCAAAGTACAGCAGATGCAGGGAAAAATAAAAATTTGAAACAATTACGTGAAGGTGCATCTGCAAGCTTCATAGAGATTTCACAGAATAAAGGAAGAGCAGTGATCTCGTAAACGCAGGAGCAATTAAAATTACTGACAATTGGAGCTATGAGCTTTGATTGCCATTGGATATATAACAGGCTTTTTAATAACATGCATGATGCAGATTTAACCTCTCTATTGGAGTATAGGCAAGGGTGGCTTTTGTACAGAAAGTTAGTACTTCTGCTGATTTTCCTAATGGGAAGTGCCGTGTTCTGTATGAGGAGTATGCAGAATATTAAAAAATATCTCAGGACAGTACAAGGAGGGGGAGCCGTTACACTGTAGAAAAGATGGGAAACACTGGGCTCTCGTCAATCTGAATATATAAATCCCAAATCCTCTGCTTCACTTCAGAGAGAGCTTTACTCTAGGCAGAAAGTGCCAGCAAGGCAAAGCCACAATATGCCAACTCCTTGTTTATTTCTCCCCTTAGGGTAGAACCAAATGTGTCTAGCAAGGTGAGATGGACCAGGGAAGTCCCCCAAAATTCTTGTTTCAGCCAGAAATTGAGTTGTAATTGAGCATCAAAGAAGATGTAGTCTAATATTAATTGTATTAAAGCATTAGAAGTTGAGTGAGGGACATGTATTACAATTTTTAAGAATTCTGATTGGATGACTTCTAAGCTTCTTGGGGTCCACTGATCACCATATAGCCTCACACTCAGATCTTTAGCTTTAAATAAAGCTAAAATAAAGTTGTTTAATTATTTCCAAATTGACTTGCGAACTTAACAATAAGAGCCCATATATATTACACAACTCCACTACATCCTCTTGGGCGGTGGTGCATCCAGCTGAGCAATTAAATAAGTTCATGTGCTTTGTGATGCCTCTGAGAGAGCAGCTTAATATAAAATAGCCTATTTTAGCCTTTCCTGGCTTGGTGGGTTCCAGATGTGTTGGGGCTGCAAATCCCTGAATTCCAATTTGGAAATTTTGGGATTCTCAGTCTCATCTATCTGGAGGGCATGGAACTGGAAAAGACTATTGTATTTTGTATTGTCGAAGGCTTTCACGGTCGGCATACGATGGCTGGTGTGGGTCTTCCGGGCTGTGTGGCCTTCAAGACTTCAAGACTTCAAGACTACGGCCACACAGCCCGGAAGACCCACACCAGCCAACTATTGTATTTTACTTTTTCACCAGTCCCTATGAAGTAGACTGCACTAAAAGAGTGACTAATCCAAGGTCTATTAAGCTTTATGGTTGGAGAAGATTATGTTTCTTGTTGAAGGTCCAATATTGCATTTATTGTATCATACAAATTCTCTACTAAAAGCCTACTAGTTCATTACCATCAATACTCTGGGAGCATTTTTATAATTTATACATGTATGCTTGA